AAAAAGAAAAAAGAAAAAAAAAAGAAAGTAAATAAAGTTGTCTAAACAAATAAAGGCTTACACGAGCGAATACTGCGCTTTAGCAGACTTTTTGAAATTATTGAAAATTATTGAAGCAAAATGGGGGTTTCAAATGTTGGTAGTGAAGACAGGCATTCCAAAAAAAAATATAAAAAAATGAATAAAAAAGTTCTTAACATCCGGCTCATTCTTCCTTCAACACAGTTTAAGTTATTTTTCAAAAGTGCGCTTATAAAGAATCGAAAAAATTGTATATATCCTTTTCCATATAACTACTACTCCTCACCCATCCACGAAACCCACACCGTTATTTTGCATATCAACGACATCATAAACTCAACTATCCTCCATAAAAGCATGCAAAACTTCGAAACACTATTTTTAATTCATTTAATGTCCAGACTTATTAAAGTTTATTAGGGTGATTTTACCAACACATAAACACACACATTGATAGACACTCGTGATATATGGCAATTTAATCAAGTAAATTACTATTGTTTATAGTGTGTGTGAAAGTAAGAAGTGAACAACAAATAAATTTAATTGGCTTTAGGTTTAAGTATTTTATATTTCGCAAAGTACAAATTTTCCTTAATTAAATTTCAAGTACTTTATTTAAATTTATTTTACTTTATTTTATTTTTTTTTTTTATATATTTAACTTTATTTTATTTTTATTTTAATTTGTTTTATTTTATTTCATTTCATTTTATTTTAAATTATTTTATTTTATTCTACTTTATTTTATTTTATATTATAATATTTTATTTTATTTTAATTATATTTATATTATTTAAATTTATTATTTTATTTTATTCGGTTTTTTTAATTATTGTAAACTATTATTTTAATTTTTTTATTATATTTCATTTTAGTATTTTTATTTTATTATTTTATTTTTCTTTTATTAATTAATTTATCTTAACTTAGTTTATTATATATATTTAAAATTTTCATATTATAATTTTTTAATTTATATTACTTTATTCCTTTTTTTTATATTTTGTTTTTTTTTTTATTTTATTTTATTTATTTATTCTATTTTATTATATTTTATATTATTTTATTAGTTTTATTATATTTCTTTATTTTGTTTTATTTGGATTTTTTTAATTATTGTAAAATATTATTTCAATTTTTTTATTTTATTAGTTTAATTTATAAAAATATATTTTCATATCATAATTTTTTAGTTTATTTTATTTTTTTTTTTTTTTTCTTTGCTTAATTTTTATTTTATTTTATTTCATTTCATTTGAGTTTAAATTATTTTATTTCATTTCATAATTATTTTTTTTATTTTTTATTTTGATTTATTTAATTTTTTAATTTTTTTTTTTTTTTGCTTTATTTAATTTTTTAATATTTTTTCCTTTATTTCATTTTATTTATTATATTTTATTTTCTTTTATTTTAAATTATTTTATTTTAATTTGTTATTTTATTTTATTGGGATTTTTTTAATTATTTCATTTTATTATTTTATTTTTTTTTTAATTTTATTTTTCTTTTATTAATGAAATTCTTTTTTCTTTGTTTATTATGTAACATACAATTAAATTTTTTTCTTATAATTTTTTAATTTATTTAATTTGTTTTTGTTTTTATTTTTCAATTTAATTTTTTTTTTTTTTTTTTTTGTGTTCTAAAACTCTTCAGATCAATAATCGCCAAGCAGTGTCGGCATTACTCTTTTAACCTTTATCCAAAACTATTTATTACTCTTTATCGAAATTTATTGTTGTGTGAGTCGCAGTGATTTCATTGATTTATTCCCTTCTTTTTAATTAAATCATGTTTTTCCTCAATTCATAGCCTGAATGGTCTCGCAGTCAGATCGCTCTCTGAATTAATGTTGCAGTAAGCTCATGTGCCGTTATTTGCTGCCATTGTATAATATGGGTAGAGTGCCAAACATTCAATCACTCTTCGACATATCCCTTACTCTCTAGAGTGCGATTGCGTTCACTGTCCGTTATGATTCAGCAATTCTCAACCTCTTTGTAAGAGGTGTAATGTATCGATCAAACTTTAATAATTTCGCTTGAGTGCAAATAGTTTATGAAATATGCAAATTAGGCGTTTATTAGTGTGTATGGAAAGAGACCTCAAGGGATTAAAAAAACAGCAAAGACTGCTAAATTGCATATCCTCCCAAATAACACCATGTCGGGAAAATAATGAGCATTTTACTATTATACCGTAATGACACATTAATTTAAATGAGATAGCGAATATGTAAGTAGTTCACTTTAATCCATGATGAATATGAAAATAAGTATATACATCTGTTCTTATCTATGAACTCAAAATTATAGCTATACGACAGCAATATTTAATGAACGAAAAGAAAAGAAGACTTTGCAATAAATATAAGAACTTATCACTACATGGCATTTTCAGAAAAGAGTTTCTTTTGCTTACATCCCAGAGCGCACACCTAATGATAACTATATACATATGTACATGCATATATATAAGAATCACATGCTTACATATCTCTCTTGACCTCATTTTTGAATCTTTACACTTTGTACTAGTTCAAATTGGATATGCCAATATTATGGCGATCTAAGGCAACTCGGTGAATCACATTCCATGGCTATGTGAAGTAATGCTCTTTGGAGTCCGCCCTCATATAATCATCAGAATTGCTTCACCAATTCTTTCTTTTGAGTCGGGAGGCTCTTCATTCAAAGGATTGAAGTGTATTCCTACTTCTGAATAACACGAACAGTCCTTGTTGAACAAACAATAAACTTCTGTTGGAATTCCGTTGGAAGTACTGGATAACAATAGAAAGAGTGAGGGAAAGAACTGCAGCTGTTATTTATTTGTGATAAAAGCCCTCTGAGGTGGACTTTATTTCGAAGTAAATTTTTTTAAAAATTACAAAAGACCGGATGTGATTTTCCTCTCCTTAAATTTGTGGTTTCTGTCTTAATGTTTTTGCAACAAATGGAGGGACCTACAGTTTACACTCAGCCGCCTCCGAACGGCTGATGATTTTTTAAACTTTTTTTTTTTACTTATATACCTGACCCCTTGCTTCAACACCGATGCTCGCTCTCAGCCGCGCCTCTAATGAACAGACGCTGTAAAAAGATTGTAGTCCCAGCGGGTTAGGGGTTAAAAACTTACCCGCGGTACGGCATGCCGGTCCCGCGGCAGTCAGGTCTTTATACCGGAACGACCCGGATTAATATGCGGGCGAGGACTGTCATTCCCTCAATATTCCCCAAAAAGTACTTTGGGTAATATTTTTGTGGTTACAACAACAACAACAATGATTGCAGTGTACGCGTAAACCGCATATGTCAGAGCGGGAACACTAAAGCTACTTCTCTGTTAGTCGTGACTGATTATTCACACGGATTGGTTTTCGTTTCGCACACAAGGGCATCTCAGTTGAACAGACTCGTTTCCCGCTTCTCGTACAGCATCGAAACCAGCAATATTTGAAAGACCTGGAGGGTAGTTTTCTCACAAATAATCGTTATTGGTTATATCCTCGGTCTTTCTCTTTAAATCTACGAGTAGTAGTGTAGCGCTCGTAGTTGCATTCGTTTGACGTTCACCCAGTAGAGTCAGATCGGTTTCGCACCACGTTTATTCTAGTGGAAAATGCGCATCCTCAGAGATGTCGTACAGTATGCATCAAAGACGCTATTGCTGCTGCGAAGCATAGTATCGAGGAAGACCCGATTGAGTTCACCAGTCAATGCGCGCAACAAGTGCAGCTGTGACCCAATACTTTGTAGAAGATTTTGAGGTAGGTTTTTGTCCTGCGGCCCTTCAAAACCTAACTCGTGCAAGAATTGAAGCAGAATGATCATCAAACGCGTCGAAGATTCGGGGAATGGGCAAAAAACGAAATGTCCATTGAGCTCGTTTTTCACAAGAAAATTTTATTCAGCGATGAAGCTCACTTTTGTTTAAATGGATAAAGGTTAAGAGACAAAATTGTCGCATTTGGAATGATGATAAGCTACAAGCCAATTGGTGATACGCTGTTAGATCCTGAAAAAGTCACTATGAGTGTACTCTTTGGACAGCGGTAATCAGTGGTCTATGTATATTCCTTCAAAAATGAAGTCGGCCACCCACGTAAATACAGTCAATGGGGAACGCTATACGTTTGGATTTATTGACTTTTTCGTAGCTGAATTGGTGGTTGTTCTGTGGACGACCTTTGGTGCCAACAAGACAGCGCTACTTCGCGTACAGCCAAGAAAACAATTATTTAATTGAAGGGAACTTTTGGTAAGCGCGTTAGCTCGCGTCGAGGACCCATGGTGTGGCCTCAGTTTAACGCTGCTGTACTATTCTTGTGAAGTTATAAGAAGTTGCTTGCCTGTGCTGTGGAACTGTATATTTGGCGATTTATTACTGAAATGCGGCTCCAATTGCTAGCAAAAGTGACCGAAGATTGGTCTTCAAGGCAGGCACCTATTCAAGCCAACCGCTTGTGCTTATCTTTATAATAAAGCTAAATGCAAGGCTATGTCATTAAATTGTATACGTTTTATTTCTGCTAAAAATCCACCCCTCCTTAAAATAACATCCTTTAGCACCAAAAAGGGTCGGGAGACTCTTTAAACCCCCAACATGCAATTTAGATATTAATAAATATTAAGAGCTAAAAATAGCAAAAAAATTCAGAAATGGAATTTATTTATTATGTACAAACATACATGTGTGTATATGTGTGCGTAAACACATTAAACTTCCTGACCATCCCAGAATAAAGTCATAAATAAATAGAAAAAATGGAAAAAAAAATCATTCACCTTGAAAATATTTCCTTGCGTATATATCATCACCCAATCAATATCAATGCAGCAACAACAACACAAATAACATTACATATATCCATTATATCATAGCTTATATTGTAACTTGCACACATTTGTATTTACATTTCGTAATATTTATTGCTAATAAAAATGTCCTCTTTCCGCTCTTTCCCCTTGCAGAGACATGCGCCTTGATTCCAATTCCAATGAGGATTGTAAGACGTCGTCAGACTCGACATTGTGCGTAAGTAAATCGACGCGTGGACGCCTGCGAAAATGGCAAAATACCGTTAATAAACAATTAACACTTATTTTTCTTCAACATTCAATTCTTTGCTTTTTCCCTACCGTTTTCCTGCTCCCTCACTGTAATGCACTTAATTTTATGTTTCTCCTTCTTCTTCTTCTTTTTCTCCTCCTTCATGCAGAAAGTGAAATTTGACACACTCTCAGTCTGGGGTGGCTCAGAGAAGACCGATGATACACGTCTGCCAATAACGGATTACTCGACATTGGGCGGTCCACGTCACAATTGCAGTCCATTTCCGTTATCAAAAGATGTTAACAATCGCTTTTTGTTGTGGTAAATTGTCAATTATTTCATTTGATTGCTTTTCGTCTTTTGGGCGCTTTTCTACATCCTTCTTCCTCCTCTTCTTCTTCTTCCACCACAGGGAGGGTGATCTAACCACACTCGAAGTGGACGCCATCACAAATATTATCGAGGAGACACAAAACGAGACTAATCCCATTGCCGAACGCATTTATGCCGCTGCCGGTAATCAATTGAAGGAAGAACTAAGCAATAATTTGAAAGGTGCGTAACTCGTTTATGAGAAATTATCACAAATTTTAACTCATATTCATAATTTCTCTCATTTTCTATGTTCACAGAGTGCCGTACTGGTGAGGTGTGCGTTACTCGTGGCTACAATTTATCAGCCAAGTATGTGATACACACCGTCGGACCAGCCGTTAAGGAGACATTCAAAAGTGCTGCTGAAAGTACATTGCATTACGCTTACAGGTAATAGCAGAGAGGCTATGAAGCGCAGAGAGTTATAATGTATATCCAGCGGTTTGAAGAGGAAGGCAGAAGTTATAGGGATCTAATTGTGTTAGATGAGATCGGTAATCCACATTATCATCTTCTGAAGGAAGTTGCATGACCAAAAGTTTTTTTACTAACCAAACTCAAATTGCAACGAAACGCCATTTACCGTGCGACACTGAGCATCTAACATACCCCTCTCTTTCCCTTTCACATACTGAAAGCTCAAGCACAGCACACCGCTCAGAAACTGCCTGCTCATTTACATACATACATATATAACTCCGTTTAGGTGCAAAGAAAACTAGTCTTTTTCAATGAGAACTTCTAGTGAAAGGCTCAAGGAGAGAGCAATTTCGTGTAGTTCAAAGCAAAAGAAGAGAGTAGTTCTAAGGGTCAGTTCTGCAGGGTTTTCAAAGGGATGGTTAATGTCGGGCGGGGACTTATTGCTTGCTGCATATACGCCAGTTATGTTGAGGTCGAATTTGGAAAGTTAAAAGTAGAATCCACTGCAGTAAACAGCTCTAGCTCCTCTTAGGTTTTCGATACCTCCATTCGCGGAAAGTGAGTTGACGAAGGTGTTTGCTGTTTCTTTGTTAATGGCGTTCCTAAACTGTTTCAGCTGAGTATTGTTAAAAAAGATCCGCATAACACTTTTTTCTAGAAGTATCAAGGAGCGCCTCTACTTAAAGCAGGCTTCTTGTCTGCTCTTAATGAGGTTTCATAGACCTTTGTTAGCACAGTGACTCATTGCAGGATAAACATGCGAGTACTTATGTTGGGTATGTAGACATCGAATCTCTGATGGTAGGAGTTAAGTAAACTAAAGTAGACGGCTGAGTTTCGCTGACAGCATTTCTGAGAAGAAGATGTTGAGGAATGTGTTGATCGACTCTCGGTAAACGTCGTCGGCAGCACGTCGTGCCCAGCGGTTTAGTTAAGCATTGAATGGAGTCCATATAGTCAAATTTCCTTCCAGATCAAGCATTTTTGTATTTACCTTGTCCCAGGATACAATAAAAGACACACAACTTTGGTGTAGTTAGAGAATCTTTCTTGATCTCCAGCAGAAATTGGCATAACGTCTTCCCTCTATGAGGAGCTTAACAATACTGCCAGTCTAGTTGTGATCAGTGAGAAGCCTCTATCAAGTTACTTAATTCCTGGCCAAGAAGAGTAATGATCGACAAGTTTTCGAAAGCTACGACATCATGGAGAAAGTCTCAAGACCAAAGCAAACTCTTAATGGACCCAAAATGTGAACCAGCGACTGAATGACAGGTAAAATGCAATACCAGAAAATGGTGAATGCGATTACCCAAACCGATGTTTCACGATCCAATTATGAAAAAATTCGAATAGCAATCATCCGCTTAAACAGCCAAGCGAAGAGAACCATTGGCTTGCCGACCAAGCTACTCAAATAAGGCGGTGAAGAACTGGCAAGGTGCAAGCATCAGCTTTTTTCCAAAATAAGGTCCGACGATAGGAATCTAAGTATTATCTGCTCAATCTACAAAAACGGCAATCCCAGATTCTGTGCCAATTACCGTGCGATAAGCCTCCTCATAATCGCTTGCAAGGCCCTTTCGAGCGTATTGTATGAAAGACTAAAATACACCGTGAGGCTTTAGACCTAGTAAATCCATCATTTATTTATTTCTGGAGAAAATAATACAAAATGCAGAGCCAAATAAAAAGTGGAGAGTACAGCTGCTGGCTTTCGTCGCTGATATTGACATTATTGGCTTCTGCAATCGCGCCGTGAGTTTTGCTTTCTCCAGAATGGATGAGGTTGGTATAGTAGTCAAAAAGAGCAAGACAACTTGGCTCCCACGTCAGTGTTGACAGTCATAAATTCGAGGTCGTAGATAATTTTGTCCATCTAGAAACCAACCTTGAAATCCAACGCAGAATAACTCTTGCCAACAGCACTGAGTAGGCAATCGAAGTGTAAGGTCCTCTATGTGGCAGATTACGAAGAATACGAACTTCGCGTTAGAAAACATTGAAAGAGAAATACCCCCTACATTGGAAAGAAGAGGCAGAGTAGGACTTGGTTATAGCAAACAACAAACATCGAAAAGAAAGAATAAATGTTAACGCAGCTTTAATCAAAGAAGAGGAAAAAGGAGTTGAATGCTATAATTAGTTTATGTTGTTCAGCGGATAATATTAGGTCTGGTAAAAAGTTCATTCGGTTTTTTATTTATTTTTTAAAATATGATAACTTTGCGTACATTTGTCCGATTTAAGTCAAATATGCGCCGTTTCGTTCGTAAACTTGTTGCCAACAAGATGCCAACTTCATTATACCCCTCCCGTAGAAGGCTGCTTCTCTATTGGCAAAAAACTCGGAGAGCCAATTTTCACAGGCCTCTCTTGAGGTCAACTTCTCACCATTAAGCGCGCTCGCTATGGACAGGAAAAGATGGTAATCACTTGGTGCCAGGTCTGGACTCTAAGGTGGGTGCATTACGACCTCACATCCGAGTTCCAGGAGCTTCTGGCGCGTCACCAAAGACGTGTGTGGCCTGGCGTGTCCTGATGAAACACAATCCGGCCTCTGTTGATCAAAGATGGATGGATGAGTGCTGCCTTCAAGCGGCCCAGTTATTGGCAGTAGAGGGCCGAATTGAGCATTTAGCCATAGGGGAGCAGGTCGTAGTAGATGATACCTTGCCAATACCACCAAAGACACAGCAAAACTTGGGGGCATTTTTGACATCGAAACTACTAGAACGGAACCAAGCAAACCACTTTTGTGTTACACGTTCGTTTACAGTATCGGACGCATAAACTGAATTAATTTTTTTTGCCGCTTTGGCTGCTTTTTCGACTTGATCGAAGAAAAATTACAAAATTTAACGAATTTTTTCTTTGCTGGTGTCCATCTTTGACGAGCGGTCACAACGCACTGAGTCAGTCAATCGAAAAACTGTCAAAGACAAACTTTTAGCGCTAATACACACAATTTCAGCGCCGTATAGTATGACATGTTGCGACACGTAACTCTAGTACTATGGACAATAATGCAATCTCTTAGATAAAAACCGAACGAACTTCTTACTTGACATAATATTAAAGCGACGCCAAAGCTCTCATACTCAAGCTTTTGCTGAATTGTTATCTAAATCTTCCAACCTCTTTACATACTCAAGGTAGTATTTTACACCTTAGCCATTCCGTAAAGCGTTGGAATGTATCTCTAGAGCCGACACCCGCATTCTGTATATTACATTGAAGTATTTGTAAGGAGCTTTGACTTTTTTTGTAGTGATTTAGTAATTCTCTGAGCATCCTTGGCTATACATTTAAATGATTAAAGCACAATTAAATTTATTTTCATCATTTTCTTTTGCTTCCAGAAATGCTCTGTACAAAGCTAAGGAACTAAATCTACGTACAATCGCTATCAGCAACTTAAGTGCCAATCAGAGTAGTTTCCCAGCCGACTTAGCTGCCCACATAGCATTGCGTAAATATAAAGCAATATTTCCATACTTCACTAATTTCCAAATACTGATCACATCTTCTACTCTTGCAGGTACAATTCGTCGATTTTTAGATAAATATCAAACGCAAATTGTGATATTGTGTGTTAGCGCACACGAACGCGGCATTTATGAAGTGCTAGCGCCGCTCTACTTTCCACGTGATCACCTCGAGGAGCGCAGTGCTCTGTGGCAATTGCCCAAGGATATTGGCGGCGAATTTGGTGAACCACAAAATCCGGATCGACAAATACGTATCATTCGTAATCCACAGCATAGTGTACTGATGAGACACGGTGAGTTAATGAGTGATGCGGAGAGTTAGTAACAGGTTAAGAGAGGTCTAGCGAATCAGACTGAGGAAAAATGAAGAATATTGACGTTTTATGCGAGATCAAAGTTATTTCAAATAATGAACTGGTACTTATTTCTTTGCTAGAATTTTGTCCAAGAATAGTTCGATCTGCATTTTTCGAGTCTGTTTTGTAAGCCACACTAGATGCAGAGAAGAACAAAGCCTTGTATTTTGAAAATATTATTTTCATTCTATGGGAATCTTTATGACCTTCTTAAAGTGCGGTAGTGGCGACATCTGACATTTACTGAATGACAGTACCTACAATCCTCGAACTCGTAGAAAAAGGCAGAAAAAAATAAAAGACTAATAGCTCCACTCACCTTGTGAAGATTTTGACTTCACTCCGATTATTACCAAACCACGTACATTTGTTGCCCCTTGGAAGCTAATGGATCGTGCTTTCCCTTTCTTATATTGTCAGCAGGCAATTCTTTCTCTGGCGCCCATATTGACTCTCTGCCTCGTTGGAAACTAGATTTTAAATATGATTCATGCAGAAATAAGTCTTTATAAACTTAAAGGGAGCCACTCGTTATCTAGTTTGGAAGGTTTCGCAAGTACGCTCAACTCATATAGATGGCTGGCTAACTTCAGATAGTCTTGTCTACTTCTTGCTTAAGCTTCCACAAGAACTTGAATTATCGATGTGAATCCGAAGTCGAACGAAGGACTTCACTTGGAGTGGATTGTGATGGGGGTCTGTGTCGGATATCGGTATCGTATTTTCGAAAGTAAACAGCTATCTCTCTGAGCTTTCCCAGCTTTTTACGGCACAACATTTATAATTACAACCTGCGAAAATCACAGTGGCGAATAGTGGCTCGACTTGAATTTCAGAGTTGATGACGTCAAAATTACGACTCTTGTCAAACCGGAGTACACCGCATGCGACTGTAGTGGTCTCCAAAAGTAAATAATCGCAAAACAAATTCTCATGTCGCTAGCGGACGACACCTGAGAAATGGACAAAGTGGAAGGCAACAAACTCTCATTCCACTTATTCACACTTCACCCCAACAACTTCCTTTCTGCAAGCGCACTAAATTCCACCCTTCTAACACCCCTCTCTCTTGGTTCGAAGTCATCAAAATGGCTCTTATCATGGTCCTCACTTTATATTACCTTACCAGATCAACTAAATTTGCTTGCTCCTCAGCGCAGCTCACTAGCAAAGCTATACCATAGAGCAGTAATCCTTGTTCTTCTAAATTAGGGAGAGTCATGACTTTGACCACAAGTAATCGGATCAATTATCTTGTACAAAAATTAATAATCCTTTAGAATAAGATCGGGAAGCTTAAGCTTACAGGAGGAAGATGTAATTATAATGGAGCCCTCGGTTCCACCCTCAACGTCAAGTGATATGCTACACTTCAATGAAATTAAGGAATTAGTGCTCCAAAATCGTCGAAAGACTGTTAGAGACCTCACTGATATGGTTGGAAAATCAGAAGGATCTGCAAAAATGATTTGTAAGGACTCTTAGGGCCTACGAAAAGTCAAACCTCGTTTGGTTCCAAAAAGACTGTCGCGTTGATGTGTGTGAAACCATGCTTTCTGACTAACAGGACAAGCTGAAATGCATTATTATAGGAGACGAGACGTGGATTTGGCATCATGTGGCTTCTGGTTCTTCCAAAAACTCAAAAACGGTTTTGAGTCGATTGAGGAGATTAAACGCGAATGAGCGCACTCTCTGAAAGCCATACCAGAACGTGGCTACTTGACATGCTTCGATAATTGGAAAAAGCGTTAGCATATGTGCATTGCATCGGCAGGGGACTATTTGGAAGGTGACGAAATCGATGTAGAAGAATAAATAAAGAGTTTTAATTTTACAAACAAATTCACCTTACCTCTTGCCCGTATAAACAAGTTATGGAAAGCGAAATGAGATGAGGAGCACACGCAAGATAAATAGACAGATCTTCCTTTATTCCCTTCAGTCTATATACTATTTCTAGACCCACCTGATGGTTTGTTCGTTTTTATTCCGTCGAAGCAGGTGAAGGGAGTTATAAAAAGTATTTCCGTTCAATAAACCATCAATGAGCTCAGAAACTACTCAAGCAGACGCACTCAAAATTGTACTGAACTTACTACCAGTTGACATTTTAAACCAAAGCATCGCAGTGATATCCAATATCAAAATGATCGTGATGTAAATTTTCTGTAAGAAACCTCGTACTCAAGCTCAACATGAATGGAGGACAATTGAGTGACAAAAAGAATCATCCGAGGAATTCGCAAGATGGGTCAGTAAACATTTTGAAAGCAAACAATATTGCTGGAGAGTTGTAGGTCTAACCATGAACCACAATATACTGATATGTACACCGAAGGAGCATTACTAGCGATGGTACACGCAAAGACTGCAGTGACGAGTAAAGATCTCCTCTGCTTCTGTCCGGTCTTATTTAACAGCTTCAGATTCGAATTATCAACTTGGCAACTCTCTTCAAAAACAATTTAATTTTGTTAAAAATTTAAAAAAGGTGCCAATGCTCAATAAGTTTTTCCACTATAATATTATATATATATATATATATATATAATTAGATTTTCAATAAATTCAAATTTTCAAACATTTGGCAGCTCTTCTCCAAATATGTTCCACCATTTAGCTAAGTAAATATTTTTATTTCGATATCATTTAGTAATTCACTCGTAAAATGTTTAAGGCATTTTATCAAGTTTTATAAATTTTTATTTTAAATAGGTGGCAACGTTGCCAAAAAAAATGCTTCCTAATTGCATATGTGGTGCCTCTATCTCTCTAAATCATTCCTGACTTTACTTGCCGTAGACTTTTAGATGTGAGCAAATTTCAAAATAGGTGGCAACTCTGTTTATTTAAAATTTACCTATATCCCAGTTCTTTTGAATACAGACACATATAATTTCATAAAATCACAAAATCATCGAAACGGTGAAAATTATACTATAAAGCCGCCCTACAATCCCTTTGCAATCAATTAGTTCAAAATCCATTATTTTTGCATTAATTTAAAGGCTTTATTCACGACAGTTTGCGTTATTATAATCCTAATGTCAAAAATGCAACGTTTTTGCGATTTTGAATTCCATGTCACAAGGCCTCAGTCGTAGAAACCCTTGTTCCTATTGGCAAAAAACAATGAACAAGCGATTTTTACACACTTCTCTGGAAGCCAGTTCTTCGCCAGCCAAATCATACGGGAACTGGCAATCACTTGTCGCGAGGTCCGGTGGATGCATAAGAACCTTCCAACCAAGAGCTCCGATCTTCTGTGGAATCACAATCGATGTTTATCGTCTGACATTTTCCTAATGAAACACAATTTCTATTCCGTTGGGCATGGCTAAGCGTTTCTGGGCGATCGCTTCCTTCAAACGGTTCAATTGCTGACAGTACAGGTCCAAATGAAAAGTTTAGTCACAGGAGGAAGCTCATAATGGATGATTCCTTATCTATCCCACCAAATACACAACAACACCTTTCTGACAATCAATGCTGTCTCCCTGCCCTTCGACCGTGATCGTTTTCATTTGACGTTGCTGTAAGTCACCAACCGCTACAGAAATGGGTCTATTTTTTTACGATTGAGCAGCGATTCTTATGTCACCCTTACATCGAGCTTCTGTAAGTATCCAGACTTTTTCAAGTAGCTTCGGGCACTTTTTTGTGCAATGTTTAGTTCCTGAGCAAACGAAACTGTGCTCGCATGATGGTGTTGTTGTTGTAACCACAAAAATATTCCCCAAAGTACTTTTTGGTGGATGTTGCGGGAGTGACAGTCTTTGGTCTGATAAAAATCCGCGTCGTTCTTGTATAAAGACCCGACTGTGGCGGGAGCTATTGTATTTTAGTTGCCTCCTACGGCAGGCATGTCTTACCGCAGGTAAATTCTTGAACCCCTTACCCGCTGAGGGCCATGATGGTCAGACTCCACAGTTTTCATTATTTTATTGACATTTTCGACAGTTGACCTTCAACAACGTGGAGAATCTTTGGCATAAAAATTACCGGAACGAAATCGGCAAAACCGTAATTGGGCCTGTTTGACTGTAACAGTATCAGGACCATAAACACTCCTCACATTTTCAGCCGCTTGACCTGTGTGTTCGCCTTTATCGGAGAAAAATTTCGGAATGTAATTTATTTTCTCTTTCCTGGTGTCCATCTTTGTTATGCGCTCAAACACTGCTGAGCTAAGCTGATCAACTGCTCTCTCATTATCTCTATTAGCACAAAATACAATCTTTCTCACGCCATATAAAGTAATCCAGTTACGCTTAATAAGGAAGAGATACAGATCAGCGAGAAAGCCATCTTTCCCAAAAATAATGGATTTCTTTTTGCTGCTTAATCTTTTTTAATTATTTTTTTTTTTTTTACTGAAATTCCAAAATAAAATACCATAAATTTGTTATTGAAAGCTCTAAAGCACTCGTCATGGCTGAAGACAGCTCTTCTTTCTTATTTTTATATAGTATAAAATATACATTTATATAAGTTTATATGTATTGTATGAAATTAATTAGATTATAAACTGTCAATCAGAAGTGATAATTAGTGATAGCAGTGCGACTCTTTTGCGATCTTTATTGACAAAATCATCCTCACACAGCCAGTCTGTCCAATTCGAATGCATGCACGTACGTACATATATATCTCTATATAAATATACATATGCAATGCGTTTAACAGTAAAATTATTATCGCTTAATTTTGCGATATCATTAGTCAATATGCATGTATGTATGTACGAATGTCTGTATGTACAAAGCTTGTGGATGAGGTAATGTGCGGTGTTATGGTGTTTCCATTTGGGTTGATAAGATAAAAAGCACTTGCGACGCATATGCAGGGTTGCCAACTGATTTTAAAAATGCATATTACTTATTAAATAGGCAGAAGCGGTGTACATACATATATTTAAGTACGTGATTATTCAT